GCCCAGCGCGGGCCTCGGAGCCCCTGCCGCACAGCTGGGAGCCACGGCCGCGGCGCCCGGGTTCCTGCCTTGCGGGCCCCTCCCCGTTGTCCCCCTGGCGCCTGGAATCGGGGCTGTCCACCCTCTCCTGAACTCCGAGCCTTTCACCCTCCCACGTAGGTCACCTCCCACTCTCCTGGGGACAGGTCTGCTAGCGCCGGGCCGCCCTTCCTTACCCTGCCTGCACTGCGGAGCCCGACTACAGACTTGATGTCAAAACCTTGGACTTTCCTCCGCCCGCCGACCAATGGGCCTACTTGTAATTAAATGTGTGTTCTTATTTTATATAATGGTAGGCAGTTTTATTTTCCTGGAAAAAAATACAGACCAAAAAATAAAAAAAGAACAAGAGTCATATTAGCGGAATGGTCGAGAAAGGAGCCAGGGACATAGTTTTCCTGCCGGGAGATCACTGTAAGTGACACCTGGAGGCTGAAAAGTTTCCCAGGAGAGTAGAGACTTTACCCGGGCTCGGTCACGCGCTCACTGGACAGATTCCACTCTGCGTGCTTGCCTCGGTTTCCTCATTTGTGAGGTGGGATATACAGACCAGATTAATTGCTAGGATTCTTGTCACCCTAACGCCTCATGCTTGAGAAAGTAGTCTCTGCCTGTGCCTTTCCTTTTTCTAGGTTCTGTGTGAAATGGGAGGAATCTTACAAAGATGCAAGCTGTTTAAACAGACAGGGTAGAATGATCTGGATAGAATTTGTTTTGGGGAAGGAATACTTTATTTTTACAGGATGAATTAAAATGAGTTACAATCCACTTTCATAAAAAAGCAAGTTTTAACCAAGCATAATGCTCCATCCCTATAATTCAAGCTCTAGGGAGGCTGAGGCAGGAGGAGCCCAAATTCCAGGCCAGCCTGGGCAATTTAGTGAGACCTCTTCTCAAAGTAAAAAGGGCTAAGAATGCAGCTCAGTGAAAAGGCCCTGGGTTCGATCCTCAGTACCACAAACAAAACAAAACAAGCCCCCACCCCCTCAAAGTGCGAGAGAACAGGAGAATCAGGATCAGACCTGCCTCTCCTTTTAGTTTGGAGAAACATGTAGGCTTTGTTCCTCTCTTCCCCTCTTTCCGCTGGAGCGCGCAGCTCAGCAGAGCCGCTGCCAGGACCCTGCTCTCCGCGGCTGTGCACGCAGCCGGCCTCCGGGAGGTGCTGAGCGGAGGACGTGTCTGAGCAGTGCCCCAGCCAGCCGCCAGGAAGCTACTCACCGGAGGGCGCTTCCAGACGAACTGGATCGGGAACTTCTGGCTGTAAAAGAGAGAGGTCTCATCCGGTGGGAACTCGGGGTCCACATAAAGAACTTTCTTTTCTAGACATTTCTTGTGAAGCTGCTCAAACGTCTTCTCTTTCACTCCGATGATAGGAAAGTTGCGGCTGATGATGGCTGAATAGATGCCACCTGGGTGTCCGCCCCCAGCCCCCGTTGTCGTTCCCTGGGCTGGGTGGGGGACTGGCCCTGGGGACCTGGGCTCGGCTGCTGTCCTCGGGGCCACAGACGCGCTCACCACAGTTGGCATGGCGGGCAGCGTTTGAAAGGAAGAGGTTTTAAAGAAAACAAGATACAGCTACCTTTAAGGAAGGGCCGCAAGTGCAGAGGGGAAGTTGGAGTGAGTTTGTCATCTGAGAGAAAAATGTCCACCTCTGATTCCAAACTGAAAGTCCGTCAGAAGGTCCCCCGGCTTAATGTCCAGCTTGAAAAACCAAGCTTCAATCCTGGAGCCATAAGATCCCCCAAGAAACGAAGACAACAGGATTTCTGAGCGCTTTGTACCTGGGGGCTCCTACCAGCTGCACTCATGCCAGAGGGAGAGGGAGAGAGTGTGAGGGTTGTGTTTCAGTAGCCTAAAGAAGCTTGAGCCAGGAAAACTAAAAATAGATGTGAAGAAAGATTGTGAGCCCAGGAGAGAGGCTTGCACACAGGAGACTGCGTGGAGGGAGAGGAGGACCCGGCTGCAGACGCCCCTGCGCTGCCAGTGCCGTCAGTGTGGCCAGGAAGTGAGAGGGGAATAGCTGAGTAAGGCGGACAGTGGAAGCTACACGGAGCCATTCATTGGGCCACCAAATTAA